TGCCTGTTCCCAGCCAAGGCGCTGAAGTCAGCGCTCTCCGGGGCCATCTGTTCCGACGGACTCGGCCGGGCCCCGGCAGCGATGCTGCAATTCCATGATCCACACGGCAAGGGGCTCCCACAGCACAGGCCTACAAGAGGGAGCTCAGCCAGCTTCTCCATCACCCCATTACCTTTCCCTGGAGTCTTTTCTTGCAAGAGGCTCTGGAAGCAGGTGATGAACTCAAGGTGCTGTGCTCCAACAGCTCCTGGTTTGCAGCCACCTCCTGCAGGGAAGAACCCACTGGAACTTGGGCTGGGGAAGAGAGAGGACCTGGGTCTGTACACTTCCAGCACAAAGCCTGAGCCATCTCTGGAAGGGCAGAGTGACAGCTGGGTGACAGAGGCACCTGCATCCCACCAACAGCACCTGATGTTGGACAGGGTGAACACAGCCCCACACCCACAGGTCCCTCCACCAGGGCTCAGTCTTGTAGGTGACACTTGTGGCATAGGCTGGAGATTTAGCCCCAGACCTGCAGCCACCCTGGACCTGCACCCATCCCAGACCTCCACCTGCCTTGGACCTGCACTCATCCTGATTCTGCCTGTCAGCTGTCAGCTCCCTTCCCCAGAATTTTGGCCAGAATTTAAGAATTGATCCCAGTTACTCCTGGGCACCCACCTCTCCCTGCCCCTCCAAGACTCATTTGAGAAGCATTTGGTGGATACTTGGTGGATGTGGTTTAGGGGAGAACTTTGTAGAGTAGGGATGATGGTTGGATTTGGTGATCCCAAGGGTCTTTTCCAACTTGAATGGTTCTATGATTCAAACATGGGTGAAGGTCACCTTCCCCTGGGCTGCCTTCAGCTCCCAGGGCCATCCCCAGGCACCAACCCAACCTCCCCTGTCTGCTCCATCCCATGAGGGTGTTCAGGCCTTCGTTGCCTTAAGAACCACACAGAACTGACTGGTATCACAGATCCCAGCAGCCACAGAAAGCAGAGCAAGGAGAAAGAGGGGAGAGAGGCCACGGGGATGGTGCTGTGCACGTACAGCACGGATCCGGCCCCGCTGCCACCGCATCCTACCCTCACAGTAATTAAGGGAGCTAAAATTAATAGGGATGGTTTCATCCCTGCAGGGATAATTCCTCCTCCCTGGGTGGCATGTGCCTGCAGGGCTGCCCTGGAGGTTGAGGATGAGGCAGCCAAAGGCAGCAGGTTGGAAATGGAAATTTCCCAGGAAGGGAGGAAATCACTTCTTTCCGGGGTGTAACCAGCCCTTGCCCTCCAACAACTGCATTTGCTGCTTTATCGTGTCCCTAAATAGCTCCTCGATGCAGCTGCAGGAGTTGACATCTCCTTTGCCTCTGCTCCCCTCCCAGCCTCCAGAAACAGGCTCCTGCAGCCCCAGTTTCCAATGCAATTCACTCCAAACAGAGGGAGAAACCTCCCAATCCTGCAGCAGCTGCAGGGTCCCTGTGGCTCCAGGCAATGATCTAGGGAGTGCAGAGCCCCAGGAAGGCTGGGTCACTAAGGTCAGGAGTGGAAACCACGAACCTCTGGTGGGTCTGGAGCCAAGGATGGGCTTGGAATCCCTCCCGAGGAAGGGGTGATGTTGTGCCAGCAGGGAAGTGCAGCGGGGCTGGCAACGCACTCCAGTGACCCCAGAGATTGGTACCCCAATCCCAACCTGTTCCCCATCCCAGGGCTGGGGAGAGAAGAGCACAGCAAGGATGAGGAGTGCCCGGGAGAGCAAGCAAGGAGGAGGGTTCCGGGCAGGGCCGGTGCCTGTTCCCAGCCAAGGCGCTGAAGTCAGCGCTCTCCGGGGCCATCTGTTCCGACGGACTCGGCCGGGCCCCGGCAGCGATGCTGCAATTCCATGATCCACACGGCAAGGGGCTGGGAACGGTGGGAAGTCGGGCAGCGCCTCTGCGGCCACGCCAGGGCCAGGGCCGGGCTGGGAAATCACGTCCCAACCACGCTGGGAAGAGGATTTTTCTGCCCTTTTTCTGGTCGCTTGAGCTGGGTTTTACAGGGCAGCACAGCTTGTCACTCGAGCTGGTTCTTCCCTTCTTCCAGGGCACAGGGAACCTCCAGGGGCTCTGAATGCTCTTTTGGAAAGGCCAGGCTCAGCAAGCAGCCTGTTAGCAGGGCCAGCAAGAGCCTCTGCCCTTGTCTCTCTGCTCTAACTGCAAAATGCAGGAGGAACAGAAGCTACTGGGGTGTCTCAGACCTGCTTCTCCCCTGGATTACTCCAAGCTGCCCAGCAGAGAAGAGCTGTGCTGCACAGCTCTAACGAGTGGGGAAACTGAGGCAGAACAGAGAAACTCAGCAGCACCAGGTTTCAAAGACCTAATGGTGCAACTACCCCAAGCTGTGATGGGCTCCCTCTGCTTCATACCTGGCCTGGCCACCTTTGGGAGCAGCACACAGGGCAGCCAGGCCACCCATCCCCTGCCAGATGCTGATCTCCACCAGCTTTGTGCAGCCTCCTTCAGGCCAACCTGAGCTGTAACTCAGCAGAGCAGGGGTGTCCACATGAAGAGCTGGCAGCAACGACTTCCAGCTTCCCAGGCCTCCTTCCAGCAGCAGATGAGTGTCAGTCCCAGCATCACCTTCCCAGCTCCTTTCCCTCTGCAGGCAATGGCTTTAGAGCTGCTTGGGATGGTGACCAGAGGGCGAAGGGGCAGCTGCCCGGTGAGGTTGTGTCCCCCCCCATCACTCGGACCTCTGCGGTGGGGACATAAACCTACGAGGTTAATCGTGATTAAAAGCTGCACCCAAAGGTGAACATGAGCCTGCCCGGGCTCCTCAGCCTGCCCTGAGCCCAGGCAGCCCCTGGGGCTTTGCAGAGCCCCGGCTCCCCCCGCTCCATCCCCGCTCAGCCCCGGTACCGGCCGCCCAGCGCCACCTAACGACACGGGGACCGGGGACAGGGACCCTCAGGAAGCTGGACACAAGGCTGGAGAGCCCCAGCAGCGCTGGGGAGGCAGCGGGAGAGCCGGGCAAGGGGGAGCTGGAGGTATTGACCGAGGATTTACGTAACCGTGATGATCCTGCCTCTGTCCTCCATCCCTGTGCTTCGCTGACCTTGATCATCCCGTGTCTTTCCAGCAGCCTGGCATTAAACCCAGGGCCTTGGCCAAGTCCTGGGTTCAGCAAGGACACTCGGCTCACCAGAGGAAGATGTTCTCCTTAATCTGCTGTCACAGCCCCAAAAACTACCCCGAAGCATCCCTGCTTTGGGAACAGCCCTTTGCCGTGCCCAGCGCAACCGCCGTGGCCTTATCACAGCTCCAGACACACACCCTGTGTGGGAAACTGTTCGTTCCTTCCCCATGCAAACAAACTGCCCTGATATCAACATTTATGGAGATGTGAAAGAAAACCCTGGGGAAGAGCCAGCCCATCACTTCCCAACACCTGCCAGCTCCCACCCAGCCACAACCACCATCACGTTTCGGGCTGGGCTACCTACCGAGGTGTCTGCTCTGAGAGCAACTCCCCTCACCTCCACACCCCCCTTCCCAAAGTGCTTCTGCTCCTCAGAAACCCAGAGCTGATGTAATCTCCTGCTCAGGAGTTGGGCATTAGGGCTGCAGCAGCCACCAGACCTCACAGGAGCCACATCACGCAAGCAGCTGTTCCACAAAAGCTTTAGTGCTCGTTTGCGTAGGAGCTCCCACCATCACATTGCCTGAGTCTCTTACTGAGCTTGCAAATGAGATGTAAATAGAAAAGGAAGGAGGGGGGGGGGAATAGCCAAAAAAATCCCACCCCACCAAAAATAAAAGCCCCAATAAAGGAGAGAAGTCATAGATCTTCCTTGCTTAAGGTTGGACCAGAGGTGGGGTGGGAACAGTGCACAGGTCCTCTAGCAGGCTCAGCAGAGACTAAACCCTCCCACCAGCTGCCCCAGCTTGATTTAACCCTCTGCCTCCAACCTGGCTTGTTTCTAACACACAGCCACCAGTTACTGTCACTGTTTCCCCAGGCCAGGCAGCAGGGGCTGGGGACAGCCTGGGTGGCAGGCAGGCCAGGGGAGGGAGGGGGACAGGCTGAGGCAGCCCCTGTACCAGGGATAAAGAGCAGATTAGGGCTCACAGCTTGTAATCTGGCTTAAAACCTGACACCGTCACCACTGGCAATTCAGGCTAAGAGAAGCATTTAATAAGCTTCAAAACACACGGGCCAAAACCAAAAGAAATCACAGCAAAACCACCCTGACAAACCCACCAGGGAACGAAGTGAAAAGGGCTCCAGGCATCGCCTTGCGTGGTCAGCACCGACAGACACAGGATCCCTCCTGAGCCAGAACAAGGCAATTACACACTTGTTATCCCAAATCCAGCCCAGGACCCAGGCTCTGCTGGGGTTTAACTGAGAGAGGCACAAAGCAAATCAATGCTCCTGTCTGCTCACCATGAGAGGAGAGGGAAGGCTCCCTCCCCGGGCCTGAGGAGCTGCCCTGCCTTGGGACATGAGGCTGGAGCAGCTCAGCTGCCCCCTCCCAGACCAAGGCAGTGACAGACAAAGAAGCCAGACTCAAGCAGCAGGTCTGATTTGGCTTTCCCAGCAGGGTTTATTTTAAAAAAACTATTATTATTAAAAGTCTGCCCAGGCACGAAGATCAAGGCAAAACCATTTGGCTTGAGGCTTCAAGGGGAAGCAGCAAGACACAAGTTTATCCACGTGTCTGGCCAGGCCTCCCCCCAGATGCACATCTCCCCTCACCTGCTACAGCCACTTTGTTCATGCTCAAAGGACCCGAAGGACAAGAACCACTCCAGGGGCTGCAGAGATGTGGGGCCAGCCCAGCAGCCTCAGATGTTTTGAAACAGTCACTTGGGGAACTCAGAATCCATGGTTACTAGAGAGGCTCAAGAGTAACACACCTCCCCAGAGTGGCCACCAGCCCCAGGAACAAGCCCTGTGCTCCCAGGCCCTGCCTGCAAGGTGTTGGTTGTCCCAGGACAGCACCAGCTGGGCCAGCACCACGTCCCCACCACTGCTGCTTTAGTGACCGATCAGCTGCAGCATCTCCTGAGGATCCACTATCTTCTCACGGGGTTTGCCAGCAGCTTTGCCTCTTGCCACTTCAGCAGCATCTATCTTCTCCCAGTCTGAGAAGGAAACAGGACGGACCCCTGGGGTGACAGCAAGAGATGGGAGAGATCAATTAACCAAGAGATAACGAGGCCAACCTCACATCCCTGTTAGCAGGGACCTGACACGCCAGCAAACCCTGCCCTTTTCCAGCACGGTGCCAGATTCAGCCTCACAGAGGAGTAATAATTCCTCACACTGTAAGGAGAGGGATGGCAAGTTCCAGCAGACACAGATCAGTCAGACCTTTGTGAGCTATAACAGTGAGTACAGCATCACCTTAGGGGACAAAACACTTCCAGTTCATTGTTCCACCTCAGATGAAAAGGTTAGGAGGCAAAACACACACACTTTAATTGAATGCCTTTAAACACAGCAACAGCAAATTATTCCCTTGGGCATTTTAATCTTTTTCCCTATCTTGCCTGGAAGGATTGCCAGGAAAACCACTCCAGAGCAGTAGTTCACTGCCTAGGCAGCTGACAGTGACATTTAAGCTAAAGTCTGTGCTGCTTTTAATGGCCTTTCCCACAAAGTGCTCATAAACCAAAGCAATGACACTGAGTTTGAGGGAATTCAAGTCCTGTTCTCCCTGGGCTTTGGAGCAACAGAACAGCAGCATAACATTTCCCTTGGTTCAGACTCTGCTCCCAGAAACAGCTTCTGGGACTTGCTGCCCCAGGGTACCCTGATCCAGGAGGAGTCACACCTTCATGCTGGCTGTGACAGCAGCTCACACACACACACACACACACTGACCTCGGCTCTGCAGGAGGCTCTTCACAGCCCCAAAGCCTTCTCTAGAAGAGGACACGTCCAGCACGCCCACCTGGAGATCCTCCAGCACAGACTGGGCAGTGTCAAAACTGTCGTTCATGGTGGTGATGATCACACCCGTGGGTCCTCTCTTCACCCACCCACTGCAGTACAGACCTGCAGGGACACACAGAGCAGCACATGCCCATGGACCCTCCTGCCTGCAAGTCCTTGCCCTGTCCAACCCGTTCCCTCAGCCTCCCCTCTCCCACCGAGGTGTGTGACCACTTTGTATCCAGGCATTCAGTGAATGGAGCTTCCCACCCCAAAATCCCCAACCCACCAGCTGCACTTGACATGTCCCACATATATCCCTGTGGATACAGACCTGGGACACCCTGCACTCTGCCCGAGCTGTTGGGGATAATGCCACGTTGGGTGTCAAAGGGTACTGCTGGGTCCAGGGGCAGGCTCCTGTAGCCAATGCTGCTGAGCACCAGTCCACACTCCAGCTCCTCCACGGCTCCAGTGGGGATGGCTTTGGCAGAGTCACCTGAACCCTGAGAGGGAGGAAGAGGCTGCTGACCACCAGAGTGTTAACAGCTGCAGAGCAGCAGCCTTTTCTGGTCCCTTCT